CCCCAAAACCCCAAAACCCCAAAACCCCACAGGGCAATATTTTTTAATCAAAATTATTATCATTTAATGAAATTAAGTTTCAAGCAAAAAGTCTGATATCATTAATAACCTAGGATAGATCGAGATCTTGGCCATATCTTTGAACAAATCTGATTTATTTCCCGTCATATTCAATATCATGCAATGTATAATCACCCTAAAGCCAAAATTATTTAAAGATTCAAATTGTATAGAGTTACGTTTTAATAATTGGTGGTGATACCATCTGTTAAGTACAAAAACCCTCTCGCTTTTCCCTAATCATTTAGGTAAACAAGCAGATCTAGCTTCTTTCCAATCAGGTCAGCTGTTGATCGAACATCACTACATAGAAATATATGAATGACTATAATTACTCATCTATTTTATGCATAGGTATTATAGTTCCAGCTCGAACAAATAGACCAAAGTTATTCAAACTAATTTTGACTTCTTAGTGCTCACCTGTACCATCATATTTCTTTGATGTAAATATATGATACCAAACTTCCCCTCTTGGTAACCATGTTTGAATCCTAATAAATGAAAATCTTAAACATACCCTGTTGCTCCTTTTTCCAATACTGGTCTTACAATTATGTCGTTACCCAACATAAATTGATTCTCTACCTTCGTTACCTCTCTTTCATTAGGGTATCTATACCACATTGGTCTTAAAATGGGTTCTCCTCTTGTGTTATGTAGGTAAAATTATTAAGAACTAAAATGAAATTATAAATGATCATTTACATATATTGAATGAATTGATATCTCAGTATGATAGAATCCTTTATTCTCTCTCTTGTTTCAGGAGTAAATACCCATGGTTCCCTTCTGCTAGTTTTTCTATGAGCATGTGCTCTGAATAGTGGCATCATTGCTCCCATTTAATACCATCTTACAACAATTTCTTCATCCTACGGATTGCCATAAAAACCTGGAATATCACTGCCAACAAATGGTATTCCGCAAATTGATGTTTGTAGCAATTATTTGACAGTTATGTTAAAATGGTCCCAATCACATCTGCAATCAGCAGTCCAGACAGCTGCATAATGCTACTATGATCCAGCGAAGTATGATCGAGATAATAGAAAAACTCTCTCCTATCCATTGGTTCTAGCTAGCATACCTTGCATTGTGGCATTGGTATTTGAGAAACCATAAATGTTGTGAACTAATCTATGTTCTACTCTCTCCCCATTAGGCAATTACTGAGTGTTTGATTTTGACATAGTCCCTTCATTATTATTAAAGCATGCTGGTTCATTCATATCATTCCAAATCAATACATTTTTATCTGTCCATATGTAATTTTATTAATTTTATATCTAAGATGGTGATTTTGTATAGAGTTCTATTGTATAATCAATTGTCTTAGGATTCAAGTAATCAAACCATACTGCTTATTTAGGCCAGCATTCACTTTCGTAATCATCCCCATTTTTATTTTTGACAGCTAAATCTAATTTCTGCATATCTTAATAAATGAAGTACTCATCATCTATCTTAGTATGAGGATCAATTATGGTTACTAATTTTCTTCCATCTCCTATCAGTTTATCAAGCATTTTCCTGGGTTCAGGAAACTTTTGCTCATCCCAAGTATAGAATCTCTTTTCATTAGTATATTCTATGTCTAGCCAAATTGAGTCACAAGGTATTTTGTATTCTAAAAATTTATCAGATACCTCCTCTGTTTCTTGTTGAGTCAAATAATTCCATCTACATTAGTGATATCCAAGAGCATAGATTGGAGGTAAAGGAGCGAATCCAGTAAGTATAGCTTGCTTGTAAAATACTACTGCTTGCTGAGTTCCTGCAAAGACATAAAACTAAAGATGACCACCTTCACTCATCCAATGATGATATTTTCTGTCCTATGTCTCAATGATATCTATAAATGTATCAGAAGCATTGCACCAAAACAGTCCGATCATTTACTAAGTTCCCTCTTTGATACCTTATATGATAGGAATAGCTCCATATGTGGAGTGATTGGGGTATTTGTCATTAAAATGGTCACTAGTATATAAGCGATAAGGTTCATGCTCACTTTCGTTATCTTTTTTATGTAATACTGTAGATTTTATTTAAAAGGTATTGATTCTTTCTGGAATCCCAAATAATTTGTCGAAATAGTCAAAACTAAAATCCAAGCTGATAGCCTAGGGTCCTGATGGAATTTCCTCTCTGATGCCTTTCCATTCTTGTTCCATAAATAGATTTTCATCCTCATCGCAAAATTAAGTAGAGTCAGTTAAAAGAGGGGAATTAGACTCTCTTTGTCTATCGATACTTAAAAGATTAAGTTCATTAATCCTTAGCATTAGCTTTCCATTTAGTCTATACTAAAGATTAAATTTATCAGTCTTAATGTAAAAATGATGCTTTTCAAAGTGCATAGATTCATTCACCTCCGATACCAAGTCTCCGTTAGGAATGTTTAAGTTTGTTTCAAATGATACTATCAACTCTTGATTATGAGAATTATCATTTAATTAGAAGTTAAGCAAGCGAGCCTCTTCAAAATTGACTCTTACTACTTTATCCTTTCCATTGTTAATTGGTCCATGTTCACTAACCTTATATTTAAATTAAAATCAGTTCAGACAAATATATTTAAGATAGACTGAGAGTAATTTAAGATGCTTACCTTGAACCTTGGTACTTATTCATTCATATCTTATATTTCAAAGCTAAGAATTCCATGGCTCGTTGATTTTAATGTGAATTAATATTCACTGTTCTAATCAACGCTACTAATTAGAGTAAACTAGAATCCATTTTAGATCTAAAATATGAATCAGGATCTTTTAATTACTCTTTGTAGTGATTCTTGTTTAACTGTATATTGAAATTTCGGATCATTTTTTAAGTTGTGAGCTCTCATTGCTCTCAGTCTTTTGCAGAAATTAACTTAATTCCATCTTCTAAAAATAGGATTTTCAGGGTCTTCTTGTTGTTCTACAATCTAGAATGTAGCTTTTTCCTCCTCTACCATATAACCTTCTCAGAAATTATATATACTATTATCTTATTTATTCCTATCTTAATCATATAAGTAGTTTAATCAGTAAAGGGGTTTTGGGGTTTTGGGGTTTTGGGG